CGATCATTTCTTAAAAACAATGAACACATTTTTTTGTCCTTATTTCAAAATTGCAGCAGGCTGCTTGCTTTTAATTATTCTAAGTTGGATAGATATACACAACAACTTAAATTTGAAAATATCAGACCATAAGCTGCAATAAGGATCAAGCGCAGCCCTTCATTTCCGTATGGATCTTTAGCCAGTTGAAAGCAAATACAATTTATTTTCCTTGCATAAAATTTCAATATTGAAATTGTTATATCCTTATTTCGTTTCATTTTTTTTCTTCTCGTTTTTTTTTTTTTTATCTTTATTTTATTTTATTTTATTGGTTTTAATTTGTTTTGTTAAGTTTAGTTTTGGAATATATTTTTAAAATTATTCATGGTTGATTTACCAAACTACTTATAAATATGAAAAATACAACCAACAAAGATCTTTTAGTCTAGTTTAGTTTTTAGTTCAGTTTAGTTTTGTTGTTGTTGTTTTTAGACGACCAAATATCATATATATAGCCTTCATGTGCAAATATAAATCAATAGACGATAGACATTTTTATATTCTTTTAATTTTTGTACTTTTCTCTTTCATGGTCCAATATTGTCAAAACACGATTCACGCTTTACACAGGCAGCCTAATCTAGTAACGAGTCGAGGGAATACAGGCTGTCCGTTATCAATATTTGCTACGTGAAGCATAACACGGACTTTCAAGCTGTAATTTAAAACATGAGTTCCTTTGAAAGCACAAGTTAGTATAGGAAAAGTAGCTATCGATCTTAGATATCGATATCTGTTCTGTTTGTTCACAACGTTTTCTTTTACGTGTCTATTTTTAGATTTTTCTCGACCAATGAGCATTCACTTCCGGTATTACTTGCTTGCAAGATTCCCGCGGGAAGCCAAAATGTAATATAAATTAAAAAAAATCAAACAAAGCGGCCGATAGTGAAAGCAAATTGTTTTCTAAAGTTCCTTGATAGCGATAGGTCACTAGCTATTAAAGAGGCGACTGAAGGAAAATTAGAATGTCTATACTTTATGTAAAGTACGAAGATTGTAATGATTTTTTTCAGTTTTTTTTTGTATATTTTCACATCCTTGGAAGATATACAGGATATTACATGGGCGTGCGAAGATACGAGTGAGTGCGTGGCGAACGAGTGAGAGATTTTCAACACGAGAAGATAAAATTCGTATCTCCAAGCGACCATGTAACATTCTGTTTATCATATAATTGTCAATGAGAGCAAATTATGTTTTAAAATTATCAGACAGCGCGAAATAAATGTGTTATTTTCACCAGTTAAAATAACAACTTCGCGTAATGGAGAAATACCATAGGTATTTTATAGGTAATTACAAGATAAACAGCAATGATGGCTGAAGAGTCAAGAGAGCATTGTATATGACTTTTAGCTTCTCGAAGAAGTTGTTATATTGTAATCTACCTCTTCAATTCAACTCGAAAATTGTTCTTAACATAAACTTGAACTTCACTAGTCATGCGAAAGATGATATTCTAAATATTCTATCTTGACTGATATTCTAAATATTCTATCTTG